CACAGCTGATCCTCTCTCAACACCACCACCTTTCTGATCCCTCACACTCTGACTGAGATCAGTCCTCCCAGCTGATGAGAGAAGAAGACAGACAGCAGAAGTCATAAATCAGACTAGCAATTTGAAGAGAACCAATAAAATCAATCCTAAAGTGGACAGGAAGCCAGTGGAGCAAGGCTGAAACTGGAGTAATGCGCTCACGCTTTTTAGTTTCAGTTAGAAGTCGAGCTGCTGCATTCTGGACTAACGGGAATCGATGGAGAGATGACTGATCCACTCAAACACACCAAGAATTACAGTAGTCTAGTCGAGATGTTATAAATGCATTAGGGTTGGGCACATTAACGTGTTAACGCATTAATTAATTAACACAGTTTATTTTTATTATTATTATTTTGAAAGTCTGTTTCTTGTTGTTGTAGCCTTTTTAACTGAAGTTAAAATTAATAGGCTACATAACTTTTACCAGATAGGCCTACATCTAATTTTAGTTGCTGGTGTCCTACCAAAACAGTAATAGATTCTGCAAACTCACAGCAAGGATCAGTCTCTCTTCCAATGATTTGTGCTGTGCGTCGCAAATAAAAAGTTCAAGACAGTTCAGCTTCGGCAGCGGGCATGTGCGTGAGGCGAGCACCACCGCAGCAGTTTCAGAGGAACGTACCCGCTTGTCGCTACACCTTGTGCTGGACCACTTCACCTCACTCTAACAGGGAAACTTGCTGAACATAGACTTTTTCTGCTGCTCCCTGATAAAATAAAAATGTTTCTGCTGTTCAGAAAAAAGCCCCAAGAAAACTGGACTCTGATGGTAACTTGTTTTAACAAGCTAGATAAAAGGTAACGCCCTGGCAGGAGCAAAAAGCTTTGGTTTAACATTTGATTTGATTACATTAATGTTTAAGTTGAAATTTACAAGAAATATTTTATTGCTACTGTGTAAAGGGAATACTGCTGGTAAAAAGCACGTTAAGTGTTTCTACTTTTGTGTATATAGCAGTACATTTAAATTAAAAGCGTGCAATACAATGTTAGATTTCATTATTCAATTTTGCGCATAACAATGTGATTAATCGCAAGAAAATCATGCAAATAATCGAGATTAAAATTTTTCATCGTTAATTGCCCAGCACTAAAATGCATGGATTAGTCTTTCAAAGTCTTTGCGTGGCAGGTAGGGCTTGACTTTAGCCAAAAGTCTCAGATGGAAGAAACTGGCTTTTTACAACAGAACTAATCTGTGTTTCAAATTTAAAAGCACTGTCAAAGATCACAGCTAGATTCTTGGTAAATGGACGACTATATGTTCCTAAAGTACCAATAACATCTACAGAAGAACTTAAGTTCTGATCCGATCATATTTTAAGATCTCTCAGGCGGTTAAGCAAGGACTGAATTAATGCTTTGTGACTGGATTTTACAGAGTTTACAAGAGTTTTGTATATCATCTGCCAAGCAACGAAAGGAGATATTGTGTTTCTTGAAAATGGACCCCAACGGCAGCATTTGACGTGAAAAAAAGCATGGGGCCCAATATGGACCCTTGGGGGACCCTATAAGAAAGAGGGGCAGCAGATGAAGAAAATTCACCAGGTTAAACAGAAACTCCTATCCGCCAGATATGATTTGAACCCTGTGGTGGCTGGCCAATAGAGTGCACTAGGGTGCCGCCCTCCCTGGTGGTGGAAAGTGTTTTGATTTTTCTTTTTAAAATAAAAATTTCTGAAATAAACAGTAATTACTTTTTAAGCATATGTGTGTTGAATATGCATAATAATCTTTAATATATGAAATAGAGGCTAAATAATTATGTTTTGGGGGGGGGATTAGCTTCCTGCTCATCCAGTGATCTTTTCTGGGGCACTAGAAGGATCGCCCAGGCAGTACAGCAGCGCAGCCAATAACTAACCCAAGATATGCCCATAGCAATATAAATTAAGCGTTCTCGAATTTGATGCCTGAAGGGCGAAATTTTTTTTGCCCAAAGCAGTGTCAGTCGGTGGTAGAGGGACACGTGACGTTGTTGACAATAATGAATGCGGATCTCAAGACACAGGCTTTCAGCCTTGGCTAGCTGGATGCATTCATGTAAATGCCGTATTTTGCTTCCCATGCTTGCTTTTTAAAACAGCAGGGACGGATACAACATGGACTGTTACAGGAGTGAACGACACGATACATTTATTTGAGAAGCTTAAGAAACATGAGTGTACGAGTGCACATATGGATAACACGGTGAAGCTAGCCATGCTAGGCAAAGTTAACATTGCTATACAGCTGGCCACAAGATTGGGGTGAGGAGACACAAGAAAGGTGGTTAAGAACAGGCACGTTTCATCAAAAATAAATGACTGTGTTAAATTCTGAGGGCCTGCGATGGACTGGCGACCTGCCCAGGGTGTACCCCGCCTTGCGCCCGATGTCAGCTGGGATTGGCTCCAGCCCCCCCGCGACCCTGTACGCAGGATAAGCGGTTGACAATGGATGGATGTATGGAAATTCTGAGGGGCCTTTGTGCTGGCCTTGCATGGCCAAAATGAGACCACATCCTCTGACAACCCTGGCGTTTTCAGTAGATCTTGTTCCCTCGCTGGACAGCGTGTTGGAGGAGCACCTTAAGACAGCTACTGTTTTCAAAGACTTTTGGACTGCATACTGTCAGTTCTTAAAGATAACATTCTGGAGGAAGTAAAAAATGCAGAATATATTGCTATTCAGGCAGATGAGACAACTGACATTTCCAACCACTGCCAGTTGGTGCTTGTGCTGTGGTACATACACAAGGAGACAGCTGTGGGCTAAAGAGGTAAGCTGTATAGTTTATATTCAGCTCTGAAGTTTTAAGATGTGGTTATTCCCAGTGGTGGACAGTAACTTAAGCAGGGCTACTGTACTTATGGACAAATTAGAGGCATTTGTACTTTACTTGAGTATTTTTTTTTCATACTACTTATTGACATAATAAGTAATAATTTCTGACTATTTCACAAAGCACTGGTATCGTGCAGTTTGTGTTAAATTGTATCGGGACGGTTTCTGAAACTGACTGGATATGGCACAGCTCCACCTAAAATATTTTTCTCCAGCCGCCACTGTTTGAACCAATAGAGGGCTGTTCCCCTAATGCAGACACACTGTTCGAGTCGGGATAAAATAATGGAGTGTTTAACCGTATCAAGCAGCAGTCACATCTGAAAGCACTAAAACAGTAGAGTTTCCAGAGACAACAGCTAAAAGACCATTGAAAACTCTTAAATGGGCAGTTTCAGTACCATGATGGGGTTTAAATCCAATTTTTCATAAACACTAAAATCAGACTAAATCAGACTTTTGACAAAAAGGGAAGCTTAGAAATACTGTAGGTCTAAAATTTGATAGAATTGAAGTATCCAGATTCTTCTTTTTATAAACGTGGTTGCACAACCGCATGTTTGAAAACAGCTGGAACACACCCTGAGCTGAGAGATGTATTAACCAATGATACAATGCTTGACCCAACATCTTTTAAAAAAGCGTGCAGGAATACTGTCAAGGGGGCAGTTTAACTATGTCAGAAAGAAGGAGGAATGTAACCGGCTCAAACTGCAGGAAGAAAGCTGGGCAGACAGGAGGGACAGAGGGGGGTCACTGTTAATGTAGTGGGTGAAAAGCTAAGACCAGTAATTTTTTCAATAAAATATTTCAGAAATTTTTGACATTAAATTATAGATGGGACACAATCTAATTTGCGAGGGTTATAAACACTTAAAAGAACCTCCGGCCTCTGGCTGTTTCTGGCTACTAAATAGGATAACAAATTTTTTTTAGCAGACTTTACTGCTCTCAGGTATTTACATAATGTATCCCCCTGTAGGAGCCAAATGTGGTGTTTTGTGCATTTAGATATTGGGTGTTGTTTCTTGTTTGGAAATTGGGTGTCGCTCTGATATTACCTGGGGTCAAGGTTATATAGGTAGCATCTAAGCTGTTGAAGGCAGGTGTTTTTGACCCGGAAGGGCAAAGGCTTTTGACCGCTGTGGCGCATTGGCGCTGAAACCTTTTGTTTGACAGTCTAAACTGGATAAATGGACATTTCACTCTGCACAGTCATTGAAACTGGATAAATGGGTATTTCATTCTGCACGGTAAAACAAATAAACTTATTAATCAGCAACACAACAAAGCCTGGAGATTCTTAAGAAAGATACAGTATGGTAACAGAAAGACAAAGGTACAGCGCGTCAGCCAGGGCACTCCTGGGCTAAACCACTGCAGTAGCCCTCAGTATTAGACTGAGCTACTACACCCCCAATATTTCAAATGAATTTTTTCATTTTCTCTTAGCTATTCTACAGGCATGTCTGAGAGAGCGTATAGTGTCATTTTTCCCCTCAGTTGAGCAACACAGTCCATTATCTCTAACTACAATTAAAATGGTAGGTGAAGTTCTCAACATTGAGATTACAGCCATCAAAATTGTACGAGCCTGTCACCATTCTCCTCTCACAGCTTCACTGAGGAAAGCAGCCGCTGAGAAGGTTGGAGGTTTACAGGAAATACTGGATCTCTGCTTTGATACTAACTGTGTTTAGTACAATACTGCTGAGACCAGCATGGACTGACTCCAACCCTCTACTGACCTCAGAGTCTCCAGTCTGCAGTGTGGACTCTCCTTCAGATCAGACAGCAGCTTCACTCCTGAATCCTGCAGCTTGTTTCCCCACATCTCCAGCTCTCTCAGATGGGAGGGGTTGGACTTCAGAGCTGAGGCCAGAGAAGCACAGCTGATCACTGACAAACTGCAGTGCCTCAATCTGAATAAAGAATAAATGATGTAACTTTAGAAGACAATGTTCCTGTTTGAAATCATTCAGTGTTTAATAATCTGTTCAGAGCTGAAGAAGGTTTAGAATGTAGAAGTTTAGAAAATGGAAACTCCAAACACCTGAACCCAACAGGATGCAGGTTCAAACTGTAAAATACAAAAAAGCACAGAAGGAAAAAATGGTGTCTGACCTCAGAGTCTCCAGTCTGCAGTGTGGACTCTCCAGAAAACCACACAGCAGCTTCACTCCTGAATCCTGCAGCTCGTTGTTACTCAGCTCCAGCTCTCTCAGATGGGAGGGGTTGGACTTCAGAGCTGAGCCCAGAGAAGCACAGCTGATCTCTGACAACCTGCAGTCCCTCAATCTGAATAAAGAATAAATGATGGAGATAAAAATCCATTTCTAATCCAATCGGATGTGTTCAGGTTTTAAATGTGGAGCTCAACATTACTATGTCCTAATCAATGAGCTTTTCCCTAAAATGAGTTGAGGGACTTTGTCATTGTGTTATTGTGGATCATCATAATGTCAGCCTTCTACAGACATCATCCAAATGTCAGCACAGCATTCATACACCTATTCATGTCAACACAGATCAATAACATGCTGCTGATCTCAGGCCAGTCTGTGTGTGTGTGTGTGTGTGTGTGTGTGTGTGTGTGTGTGTGTGTTTGTGTTCTGAAGGATCAATATCAGTGATCAGAAATTCTTTTTGAAAACACATAGAAAGCAACAGAAACAAAGAAATATTTCTATTTCAACAAATATTAGTTCAGAGGATCTTCTGAGGACCATGCTGGATTTATGCTGTGGCTCAGTAAGTGAGGCTTACAACTCTCTGCCAATGCTTTCTTTTGGTGCTTCGTACCACAGCAGTGTATATCCCATGCCTGTATACAAATCATCTTTCAGGCGCCTGGAGCGGGAGGAAAGGACAGTGTAAATCTGGTCAGAGGCCAACTTTTTTCTCTCTTCAGGCATGTTTGCAGTTTACAGACTGTCACTGCTTTTATGATGTTTGTGATCATATTAATGAACTTAAAGACACCGTTTCATTATATATCACATTCTGCATGGACTCAATTATCCCAAATAAAAAATAGGTTACTTACCCAAATAATAAAGACCCTGAGTGACTAAAGAACCTAAATCTGCCATTAATAAAAAGAAAATAATCTTCTTTTCTGGTGACCCCCAGGAGAAAAAAGGGAGGGTCGCGAAATATTTTCAAACTTCAAAAAAGGGGCGGACTGCCAGAAAGGTTAAGAACCACTGCTGTAGATCAACTTTTCACATGTAATATCATCCCTGCTGAGTGAACACACATGCATGATTTTGTCTTCCCTCCTTTTTTTTCATGTTCAAATGGAGAGAAAGGGAAATTTGGCCAAAAAGTAACCAAGTCTTGTTAAAGTTACTGACTAGCGCTGCACATTTTTTAGTCATTTTATAATCAGTAGCTTGTTTTATCGTACTTAAATAAATAAGTGCAAATAAACCTTTCTCAAAGCACTTTCATTTGTTCTTTACCATTTCTTGTTGCAAGCTATTTTTCAAAGCATTTTTAACAAAGGCTTACAAAAAGTGATGGGGACATGTCCCCGGCGTCCCCGGTGCAAATGATACCAATGCAGACATGCTTCATCCTCAGATGCAGTCTTAGCAACGAGTTAATCATGTACTTTTGGAAGAATAGTTTAACCCAGAAGCCAGCATCAACTAAGATGGCAGCCAGGTCAGTCCATTGTTTGTGTGTTAGTATGTGAGGTCTGATATTTTTCTGTTTTTATGCAAGATAACGTATTTCATTTGGGCCTGAATGAGTGGTACTTTCCCTTCAGTTTGGGATCTTTGGAGGGTCCATTTTTTATTAGACGTTATTTAATTTGAGTCTTATGTCCAATTCACTACCCCAAATCTGGAAAGCTTCTTATGTTCTCCCCTTATTTAAAGGTGGGGACCACTCAAGGCTAAACAACCACTGTCCAATCTCCAAACTCAGTCCTGGGTAAGATCCAGGGAGGCATGTAGTTGTTTTGCTTGAGAGGCCATTGTGTTTTTTTTGTGATGTTTGATAAAAAGACAATCACTAAGCCGGGACAACAAAGAATCCACTTGATGAAAGTCTTAACATTTTCTTTTATCTGCTGGTTTTATGAATTGTCTGTGGAGGACAAGAATAGTCTGAGCAGCATTGTTAAAATCTGCTCCAAGATTATTGGATTATTGGTTTAGCTGACAGACCAGAGCTCCCTCTGGTAAAAATGAATACTATAGAAGGCTAGAGAGGTAATGAGTCATTCTGACCACATTCTTATCTGCTCATCAATCATACAGATACAGATGGCTGTGCAGCGGTTTTGTCCTACACCGACGTCAACTCACACTGAAGTGTTTCAGCAGCGGAGCATTTGGCCTGCCCTATGTTGTTGATGTGTTGTTCATTTGTCATTTTGTGTACTTGATTTTTGTGCTTCTACAATGGCTAAGTGGACTACGTAGTTAAATTGTTTCTCTTTTTGTCTGTTTTAACTGTTCATTAATTGTTGTTAATTGTTCATATACAATTGGGAGTCTGCACAGGGTATTTTATTTTGAAAACTGAACGGATTATCGCTGCCATTCTGTGTCTGACTTCCTGCCCGGTTCATCTGGTCTGTGCTGCTTTACGTGGCTTCCGTTAACAAACTGACTGACAGTGAATATTTAACTTTAACTAAAATAAAAAATAGCAAAGCAAATCATATTTGGCAGAAAAATCACAATTACATTTTTCCCCTAAATTGTTCAGCCCTACCACAATAGTAACAGAGAGTCAGTGAACTGACCTCAGAGTCTCCAGTCTGCAGTGTGGACTCTCCAGAAAACCACACAGCAGCTTCACTCCTGAATCCTGCAGGTTGTTGTTACTCAGCTCCAGCTCTCTCAGATGGGAGGGGTTGGACTTCAGAGCTGAGGCCAGAGAAGCACAGCTGATCTCTGACAACCTGCATCCCCACAATCTGAATAAAGAATAAATGATGTAACTTTAGAAGACAATGTTCCTGTTTGAAATCATTCAGTGTTTAATAATCTGTTCAGAGCTGAAGAAGGTTTAGAATGTTGAGTTTAGAAGTGGAAACTCCCAAAATATCATTGAATTTATGTAGTTTTATTCTCATTTCTTTAAAAACGTGATGTGGAATAGAAGCAGAAAATTAGGAGTTTAAGAGGTTTAGAGTGAATTATCCAGTGGAGATTTTTGTTTTCTTGTTATATTAAGCTTTTAAATGTAGAGCTCAACATTGCTCTGCCACAGTCAATGGACTGAACCACTGAAGAAGAAAATAGACTTTAGCAAAGATACTCAGTGTGGATCAGTATAATATCAGCCTTATGTCTGCACTTTAGTGTCACCACAACTTTCACATCATATTAATCTCAGCACAGAAGGAAAAAATGGTGTCTGACCTCAGAGTCTCCAGTCTGCAGTGTGGACTCTCCAGAAAACCACACAGCAGCTTCACTCCTGAATCCTGCAGCTTGTTGTCACTCAGGTCCAGCTCTCTCAGATGGGAGGGGTTGGACTTCAGAGCTGAGGCCAGAGATGCACAGCTGATCTCTGACAAACTGCAGCTCTCCAATCTGAATAAAGAATAAATGATGGAGATAAAATCCATTTCTAATCCAATCAGATGTGTTCAGGTTTTAAATGTGGAGCTCAATATTACTATGTCCTAATCAATGATTCCAGTCTGGAATAATGATAAAATCAGACATGTTGTTACTTTCATTCTCTTCTGTTTCTTCTAATTCAGAACAATCATGTGTCACTTTATGAAAAATACTAAGACAGCTAAGATGTTTTCTATAGAATTCCAAAATGGCCAATATGAAATAAAAATACTTTATGAAATGAACAAGATTTTAAGTAAATCCAAAAACTTGCAGAGCTCTTTACCACCTGTCCCAGCACTTCTGATGCTCATTTCAAAGCACAGATTTAGACTCTCCTCATCACCACTGTCATCTCCATCAACTCACAGCTGTCTGACTGTGAGCTTCATCCTCAGGTGTCTTTAGAACTGGATCAACATGAATCCACTTTGAGTTCAGACTAAATTTGGAGCCAAACTCTTCAGACTGACAAACCTTTAAAAAGAGCTGTTGTGATTTGTGCTCAGAGAAACCCAGAAAACAAGAGAACTGAAGGAAAGTTAAAACTTCTGTATGGATTTGAATTTGGTAGATATACACTGGACAAGAGCAGAATACATGAACTGACCTCAGAGTCTCCAGTCTACAGTTTGGACTCTCCAGTCCAGCAGACAGCAGCTTCACTCCTGAATCCTGCAGGTGGTTTCCAGAAAGGTCCAGCTCTCTCAGATGGGAGGGGTTGTACTTGAGAGCTGAGGCTATGACTTCAAAGTGAGTATCTGAGAGTTCACAGCCACAAAGTCTGTGATGACAGAGAATATGAAACTTAAAATACAATAAAATCTTTCACTTTATTCTAAAAATAGACTCACGGCATTAACATGAGATGTGCTTTGTGCTTCGATGTGGATCTGCCCCTGCGGATGCGGATCTGTTACCGCAGCTCTGATTCGTCATGCGCTTCAGACACTGCTGGGGGTCTTAAATGTCATTTCTTGTGTCCCCTATGTGGCGCTACAGAGCACCCGATAACTATATGTTATGTCCCAGTACAACAAGTGTGGAACAGATCGTGAAAATTTCAGGGAAAATTCTATTTAAATCCCATGATGAGTGTCACACAGAGCATACTTCCTTTGCCAGTAGGTGGCGCTAAAACTATGACTGAATATTGGCATGTACAGTAAAGTTACAACAGCTTCCTGTTTCAAGGCGAAGAATGGTATTTTGCCGCCACGGATACACTGTTGAAGGAAAACTCAGAAGCTTTGCAACATGACTTTATTTGTTTAGACTCCTCTGAGATAGTTTAAAAATAGATATGGCCAACCTGAGAGAAGCGGTTCATCACAGTATAGAAGTAGTCACTCCTTATTGCCAGTAGGCGGTGCTATGATAATGAGTGAATGTGAACTAGTAGATGTGTTCAGGGCAGGACTTTTATGAAACGTGTAAAATTTGGTACAGATTTGAGAATGTACAGTGAAGATACAACAACTTTCTGTGTCTTGGCAAACTGTGGAACTTTGCGGACACAAACACGGTGTTAACTAAAAACTCACAAGCTTCACAACATGCCATCATCACTGTATTAAGACTTTTCTGAGACAGTTTTGAAGTTAATATTGCCAACATATCACAGCATGATACATGGTGCTATGACTTTGAGTGAATATTGGCAAATAGACGTGTTCATTGTGGGACTGTTATCATACAGTATCTCACATTTTGTAAATATTTGATTATATCTTTTTATGTGACAACACTGAAGAAGTGTAAATTTGCTGTCCCCTCAAAATAACACATCACAAACCCCTGGCATCAAAAGTGAGTACACCCTAAGTGAAAATTTCCAAATTGGACCAAATTAGCCATTTAAGCTCCCTGGTGTCATGTGACTTGTTAGGGTGACAAGTTCTCAGGTGTGAATGGGAAGCAAGACCCTGAAACTGAGCTGCAGCATTGTGGCCAAGACCATACAGCAGTCCAACAGGACAGGTTCCACTCAGAACAGGCCTCGCCATGGTCGAGCAAAGAAGTTGAGTGCACATGCTCAGCGTCATATTCAGAGGTTGTCTTTGGGAAATAGACGTACGATTGCTGCCAGCATTGCTGCAGAGGTTGAAGGGGAGGGGGGTCAGCCTGTCAGTGCTCAGACCATACGCCGCACACTGCATCAAACTGGTCTGCATGGCCGTCGTCCCAGAAGGAAGCCTCTTCTAAAGATGATGCACAAGAAAGCCCGCAAACAGTTTGCTGAAGATAAGCAGACTAAGAACATGAATTACTGGAACCATGTCCTGTGGTCTGATGAGACCAAGGTAAACTTATATGTTTCAGATGGTATAAAGCGTGTGTGGCTGCAACCAGGTGAGGAGTACAAAAACAAGTTTGTCTTGCCTATAGTTAAGCATGGTGGTGGTAGTGTCATGGTCTGGGGCTGCATGAGGGCTGCTGGCACTGGGGACAGTGCAGTACAGTTCATTGAGGGAACCATGAATGCCAACATGTATTGTGACATACTGAAGCAGAGCATGATCCCCTCCCTTCAGAGACTGGGCCGCAGGGCAGTATTCCAACATGATAACTACCACAAACACACCTCCAAGATGAGCACTGCCTTGCTAAAGAAGCTGAGGGTAAAAGTGATGGACTGGCCAAGCATGGGGATTACACATTGGGATTACTTTAAGCACAAAGTTTCCATTAAACGGAAACCGGAGTACTATGTGCTATTTGCTATTTACGCGTTTCTGGTAAAAACACACAGCTAGTGAGGGATTTGTCGCAGATCTTGATTGGCGTGTAGCCAGTAGTTGAATGTGGTTACCCAACCCTGTGATGCAGACTGTGAGGAATATTTTACAGCTCCCACTGAATGAGTGAACACGGCAGCGGGACCCGAGCAATGACTTGGAGACCGATGGAGGCCAGTTTGACTACTGGGAATACAGTACGAAGTTGGTTTTCTTGCCAGAGAGCTGCAGTTTCGGTATTTTTAGTTAGGAATCATCTTAAGTTTGTTGATATCATTAAGTTGAAACACCACACAGGTGATTAAAGTTGAAAGAAATTATCACTGCTGGCAGAGGTAGGATTCAAACCCGGACTAGAGACTGAGGCTAAACCAATTAAGCTTTTTAGCCAGACTGTTTGTAATGGTTTGAGGTGGTGATGGAACAGTGGATAAGACACATGCCGTTGGTGTGAGAGACTCAGGTTCGAATCCACTGTGAGACACCAATGTATCCCTGAGCAAGACAATTAACCCCTCGTTGCTCCAGAGGCGTGCGACCTCTGACACATATAGCAATTCTAAGTCGCTTTGGATAAAAGCATCAGATAAATGTAATGTAATGTCACAATTTGATGTTTTGTTAATCGAAAATTGCATATAAATTGCCATAAAAATCAGCTTTATGTTGCTTTACAGTGCTGATAATAACATCTGGACTTACCGAGCCTTTCTGCAGTTCCTCACAGCTGGAATCAGTCTCAGTTGCCCCTCCTTTGATGTGTTGTACTTCTTTAGGTCCAACTCATCCAGAACCTTCTCTGACATCTGCAGCATGTAGGCCAGAGCTGAGCAGTGGAACACAGAGAGTTCTTTCTCTAAACTGTTTTCTGACTTCAGGAACTCTTGGATCTCCTGATGTACTGAGAGGTCGTTCATCTCCGTCAGACAGTGGAAGATGTTGATGCTTCTGTCAGGAGAGATCCAGTTCATGTTCATCTCCTTCAGGTTGTTGATGGCTCTCTGGATGATTTCTGGACTGTTGTCTGTCCGACCCAGCAGGTCTCCTAAGAGTCTCTGGTTGGACTCCAGAGAGAGGCCATGAAGGAAGCGAACAAACAGGTCCAGGTGGCCATTTCCACTATGGAGAGATTTCTCCATGTAACTCCTCAGGAAGACATCCAGGGATGAATCAACGTGTTTATCCCACAGGAAGTCCTCCAGTTCCTCCGTGTTCCTGCTGGTGAAACAGTGGAACCTGTAGACTGCAGCCAGAAACTCCTGAACGCTCAGATGAACAAAGCAGTAGACTGTTTTCTGGAAGATCACACTCTCTCTTTTGAAGATCTCTGTACAAACTCCAGAGTACACCGAGGCCTCTGTGACATCAAGACCACACTGCTCCAGGTCTTCTTGGTAGAACATGATGTTTCCTTTCTCCAGCTGTTCAAACGCCAGCCTCCCCAGCTTCAGAAGAACCTCCCTGTCAGCCTCCGTCAGCTCCTGTGGACTCGTCTCATGTCCCTCATCGTACTTCTGCTTCTTCCTCTTTATCTGAACCAGCAGGAAGTGTGAGTACAGGTCAGTCAGGGTCTTGGGCAGCTCTCCTCTCTGCTCTGTAGTCAACATGTGCTCCAGAACTGTAGCAGTGATCCAGCAGAAGACTGGGATTAGACACATGATGTGGAGGCTCCTGCAGGTCTTGATGTGTGAGATGATTCTGCTGGACAGCTCTTCATCACTGACTCTCCTCCTGAAGTACACCTCCTTCTGGGCGTCATTGAAGCCTTGTACTTCTGTTACCCTGCCGACACACGAAGGAGGGATCTGATTGGCCGCCGCAGGTCTGGAAGTTATCCAGACGAGAGCCGAGGGAAGCAGATTCCCCTCGATGAGGTTTGTCAGCAGCAGGTTGACTGATGACTTCTGTGTGACATCAGACACAACCTCACTGTTGTGGAAATCCAATGAAAGTCTGCTTTCATCCAGGCCGTCAAAGATGAACAACAGTTTCCAGACGGCGAGCTTCTCTGCTGGGACCTTCTGTAATGTTGGATGGAAAACATGGAGCAGCGTGAGGAGACTGTGCCGCTCATCTTTGATCAAGTTCAGCTCCCTGAACGAGAGCAGAACCAGCAGACTGACATCTTGGTTTTCCGAGCCCTCTGCCCAGTCCAGAGTGAACTTCTGCACCGAGAAGGTTTTTCCAACGCCAGCGACGCCGTTGGTCAGAACCACTCTGATGGCTCCCTGTTGGCCAGGTAAGGCTTTAAAGATGTCCTGGCACCTGATTGGAGTGTCATGGAGGGTCTTCTTCTTGGAAGCTGTCTCAAGCTGCCTCACCTCATGCTGGGTATTAACCTCTTCACTCTGTCCCTCTGTGATGTAGAGCTCAGTGTAGATCCTGTTGAGGAGGGTTCCACTTCCTGTTTCATCACTTCCTTCAGTCACACGTTCACATCTCCTCCTCAGACTGATCTTATGTTCATCTAAAACCTCCTGCAGACTGCCATCCACTGTCACAGAAGAAAGAATCATTAGTAGGAATTATTCATTAGCACCAACATAAAAACAACCAGTAAGAAAAATGAATCCTATTGAAAATGTTTCTGATTGGCTGAGACAGCAACATTTTAAATGCTGCGAGGCAAAGAAAGCCAAGAATCCTGTTTTCAGACATGAGGACATCAGCAGACAGATGGACAGTCTTACTGTGTACAGAGCTGCTCTGACTGGCTGTCTGCAGTCCAGCTCTGGATCTTTTTCCACACTGGGGACAGGAGGAGTGTCCTGATGAAGCAGACTGGTCCCAGTATGAGGCGATGCACCGTCTACAGAACCAGTGTCCACAGCTGGTAGAGACTGGATCCTTCAGGACGTCCTGACACAAAACACAGCAGGACGGCTGCTCCTCCACAGAAACATGACTCCTCTTCCTCTCTCTGTGAAGACATGTTGTCATGGTTTTGGCTTTGAGGGTTATTATTTCCTGTTATTTTTTGTTTCAGGGTGTGGTTTCCCCTTTTCCTCACTCATTTTTAAGTTGTTGTCGACAAGCAATGGGGGTGGGGGTGATCGATCAAGTATTGTGATTAATGGTTCGTTGTGCATGCAAGGCCTGCTTGTCACTCACTAGCAACCAATATTGTGTAAATAAATCAGAGTAAATGATGTTACATTGGAAAGATTTCTCTTGTGGATTAGTCAAGGAAAATAAGAACTGTGGAAGTTTTTGTCTTGTATTAAGCAGCAAAAAATTTGAGGTGGTAGCAAACACTGAATGAGTTAGTAGCAGTTCTCTTACTCTGTGTCTGAGGGTCCAGGTTCAGTACTGAAGTCTGGAGGACGATCTTTGGACCGGTCACTCTTCATAGACAGACAGCTGGATCCTGCAGACTCTGCTCTGTCCTCTTCCATCTTCTGGACTTTAGTTCAGGTGTTCTTGTTGCTCCAGCACATCTGATGTGTTGTCTGGGTTCAGGATTAGATTTTGGTCTAAATGGTGAGCTGAATTGTAGGAAGATGGTTGTGATGAGTGACATGAAACATAACTGATGGTAGATACAGCTGGTGGATCACAGGTTAATCTGAGCAGACAGTATCAGGCGTCGCCACAGCTGACCGCTTGCTGTGTTCAGGCGCAGTGTAAACATCCAGACTGTTTCACTTACAGGCTGCATGACAGTATAAACTGTTCTCAGATCAGCTCAACATCAGATGAAGAATGATACATGATACAAATGTAAAACTGGCAAGACAGAGTTGGTAAGGATTGCAAAGAGAGGAATATAAAGATGATGGTACGATGCTGTATCACAGGTTAATCTGGGCACTCTGCCACAGCACCAGGACTTCCCGTGTTTTCCCTATGTTCATTCACAATTATTAAATTAACCCAGCAAGCCATAACCCTCATTTCACCGTCTAGGTTTACTATAGACCAAATTTAGTATGGCTATGAGTAACCCACTTCTAGCCACAATAACCTTAAATGTAATCAACATGACATTTTTTCCAAAATAACTTGCAAGGTTTATGATATTCCATCATGTAAGCAAAGTCAACAGTGATTAAAAGGTTTGTGGTTTCCTTTCTTTCACGTTGAATTGTGTTTTTTGACCAGGCACCGCGTGAGATGTTCGATATCCCATTTTTTTCTCAATGTCAATAATATCTACATGACATTAAGTGTCATTTAATTAACATGGTCTAACTGTAGCCACGATTTAGCTCTGCTGTGGACTGGCAACGTGTGGAGTGAAAATTTTAGATGAGTAACGTTACAGCCAAAACAGTGTTAAAATTGGTTACATGTAGATTTCACCCACGCAGCTTGTGAGGAGTGTGACATTATATCATCAAATCAAACACTTTGCTGTCACACATAACGTTCACTTTCATTGTAATTTAAAACAAAATACAATTACAATTTTCAACCCCCTAGATGGCGGCTGTAGCCCTACTGAGACATGACTACTGGCAACACAAGACTTGAATGTTGGTAGACATCAGTGTTGCCAGATCTCCCAATGAACATATCTGCCATGTTGAACATTTTAAACGAGAGGGTTAGCCCACATTCTTCCTTGTTTTAGTCTAGACGTCAGGGCTGTGTTTGGACAGCTATTAGACATCTTTTAAATGCAAAAGTGCTTACTGGGAATTAGAGCTACTAATAACTTTCACTCCACACTGTGCAAACACCATAAAACTCAAAGCTTGGCCAGTTTCCTCATTCTTCAAAGGACTCTATGTGACAGGTGCTGTTATATGAGCAGCAGAGCTCCTGTAAGGAATCGGGAGGTGTGTAGTGAGTGTTTGATTGTCCGAGCAGCAGAAAGTGACGGTGAAAACGAGGGCAGGAAAGTTTACTGCCAGCACGGTGTCAGTTACAGTGTGTCAGGAAATAAATGCTTCAGCTTCTCAAGACGAAGAAAAGTAGCCTATGTCTGTTGAATCCCCCCCTTCAGACTGACCATCGGGAGTACCGGGAGAATTCCTGCTGGGCCGCCTTCCTTAGACTTTTTGTTTTTAACTAATAATAAAAAAGTTGGCAGAAGGTTGAGCGACACGGTCCAACCCCCCCTTCTCCCCAGGCCTGTTGCTCTATTCTAAATGGATTAACACTCTCCCTGCCTCAGCCTTCAGTTTTACTCCTCCTGCTCTGTTGACTCCAAACGGAGTCTGAACTCTTTCAGCTTCCCTTCCAGTTCTCAGCGCTGCTCCTCCCCTGACAGGAAGTTAGCTTTGTGTGTGTGTGTGTGTGTGTGTGTGTGTGTGTGTGTAACATGACGTGCTTTATTTTAACAATTTACTCATTGCGCTGCGTTATTAGAAACTCTGATGAACCGCTCGTGGCTCACATCTCTCTCTCTTCCACTGGTTTCTTTCTTCTGGCTTTTATTGATGTAGGAGTGTTTTCTTTAACCATTTCCTTTCATGGTCAGAGAGGCTGCTGTCAGTCATTTGAAACGTTTCTATGTGCAGTAAAGTCACAGCAAATATCGTGGAGCATTTAAGCAGCAAAACTAAAAGCTGTAGTTCTAAAGTTGCCATGACAGGACAGAGGAAACTCTGCAGAGGAAACAGGATTCAACTTTTAGCTTCTGAAATCATTTAGACGCTTTTGCTTTTTTTTTTTTTAGAATAGAAGATGTATAGATTGTTTATCTAAGCAATGATATGAACAGTTAATCATTTATTATATTTATATATTTAGTTCAGCATCCCTAAACCTACAGGGAGGGATGTTTATTGTATCACATTTAATTTTTGCTCCTCACCTTCAGATATTTTATAAATTCATCTCTGTCTTCTTCTTCACATGAAACCTACAACACTTCACTTTATGTATTATTTATCTACAATATGCAAAGATTTGCTGAGCTTATTAAACACATTCTACATGTATTTTGACCATTTGACTGCATCAGTGACTTCCTGTTACAATGAAACTGAAATGAAACGTCAGTGTGTTTGTGTACTTTGTCAATGTGTGTGCACACATATTTCAGTGTGTCTGTGCCTGGTTGCAGTGCGTGTGCTTGGTGTTTTGTTGGTGCATGTATGACCATTTTCAGTTTGTATGTGCACATTGTCAATGTGAATGTGCCAGTATTTCCGTGTTTTCAGTGTATGTGCGCACATTGTCAGTGCGTGTGCGTCTGTTTTTCAATGTTTTTACCCTAAATGGCCTCTCATAGGAAACACTGACTTCACTCTGACATTTCTTTCCTCTACAGTCCACAGGGAGAAAGAAAATAATCTAAATGTTGGATTAACACTCACCGTGCCTCAGCCTTCAGTTTCCCTCCTAATGCCGCGAAATGTCTGAACTCTTTCACTTTCACTTCTTCTTTTTCAACCAACTTTATAGGTGCATACAGCCACCTACCGTATCGGAGTGTGTAGATTCATGGCATCATAATATCTGAATTGGACCTTTAATAATAATAATAATAATAATATCAGCCCTCTGTCCTTACACTGTCTGGATTATAAAATCTATCAGCCCTCTTCTGATTTCCCTGAAGTCCTGTCCTGAGCTCAATATTGATTTAAAAATCCATTCCTGTCCTATATGCTCAATATTCCTGAAAACCTCCCTTTCTACTTCCTACACTGCATAATAATGTGGTGATGGTGCAGTAGATAAGACACCTGCCTTTGGTGTGAGAGACCCGTGCTCAATCCCCCACTGTGACCATCCACCAATGTGTCCCTGAGCAAGACACTTAACCCCTCGTTGCTCCAGAGGCGTGCGACCTCTGACATAATTAGCAATTGCAAGTCGCTCTGGATAAAAGCTTCAACTAAATGAATAAATATAAGTTGGACCAGACACAGGTGTGATAGCACTCCTCATAGCAACTCATCATTTTAAAATCTGTCTCTCAGTCAAGTTTAGATACAACTCTGTACTAATGCAAGTTGGAAAGCTGTGGATTCACATTGACTATTGATTATTACAATGTTGATTAGCTGGGCAGACATGGCACTATAGATGCACATCTCTCAGTAAATAATAAACATCACATATTCAGTCAAATCATATAGTATTTTCCATATTAAAGTGTATTAAAGGGGGGGGCCTGATGGAGCTAATAATATTGTTATCTATAAATTACAGGTGCTATGCTGAAGTTTGTTAGTAGATGCTAGGTCATCAGCCAGAACTGGACAAAACTCCATCCTAAGCCGGTACCAGCACAGACCCAGTACAGACCTCCACAGCAGGTCCCACCTTACACCTGAATGTTGTGGTTCTCTTTATATATATAAAAGACATTTCAAAGATAAATTGGTCCAGAAAATGTCTCCATAATGCAGGAAATTTAGTGTTTAATGCTCAAAATCTTCTGGGGGAGGACCCCCATACCCCCACTTATTAAGTTCCCCATCCAAGAAAACAGTATCTGGCTTCACACAGTTTCTGGGAGGAACATTCACTTATTTGTTAAATATAATTTCTTTTCACATGGCTTTTTTGTTACCTGGGGAAATAATTATTATGTTGTTTCTCATTCAATTATGTGTTTTCCCCCCATGTTGTT